GGAGGAGCTCTAATGGCTGCTAATGGGAGGAAGTAGTGGCTGAGGAGCTGATGTCTAAGGAGCTAATGGCTGAGGAGGAGCTAATGGCTAAGGAGCTGATGGCTGAGGAGGAGCTAATGGCTGAAGAGGAACCTATGGCTGAGGAAAAAGCTGCATCCGATGGTGAACCAATGGCTGAGGAGGAACTTATGGTTGAGGAGGAACCTAAGGCTGAGGAAAAGGCGGTAGCAGAGGACAAACCCGTCGCTGAGGAATAGGACGACACTCTCAGCATCCTTCCTCACTGGGACTGGGAGGAGGAATCGCGAGTCCTCGTAGCCTCGTCTAGCGAGGAGTTCGAAGGACTCGTTGAGCCTCCTCAGCTTCCCTTCAAACGAGATCTCGAGGCTGCCCTTCGTTGCAACAAAAAATTGCCGTTGAAAATTATCACAAAAACTGAACTTTCTCTGGGATTGTTATACAGGTTATTGGTCTACCAAAAATAAAGTACAAATCCTACTGCTTAATTCATTTAACCTTTCTTTTCTCAACTATATGAACTGAGTATTAGGTAAACAGTAAATTTATCCCTTATTTATTTACCTATCAGCATTTACGCATCTGCATTCATACAATATGTGTTTATTGTTGTAATCGATGTATACACAGATATCTGTCGAGTCAGATGATACACATATTATTCATCTGTGTGTATATGTACGTATATATATACGTAAATATATGTATGATATATATGTATATATACGAGTACATGCATATATGTATCAAAGTATATATATATTCCAGTATATATATGTATATACATATGATACATATACATGCCTTCTCTCTTTCTCGTGCTTTCTGTTAAGTATATGCCACGGTAAGTAAAAAAAAAAAAAAAAAATGGCGCTACAGAGTCTATTGTCTTATATATTGAAGGTCAGTGTATAGTCATAAAAAGTCAACAAAGCTTCTTTTATGCGAACATGAATAACAAGTGATTTGATGCCATTATCTTCATACAGATTCGCATGACGATTTTGAGATTTGAGTTCATGATTTCAATTCACAAAGTGAATTAGTCACTTTCCTGCACATCGGGCAACAGTTATCATTTCAAGCATACTGAAGATCATCAAATCAAATCTTAATTATTTATAATAGTTTTAGAAACTCTTCAGATCAGTTCTAACGACACACACACACACACACACACATATATATATATATATATAAACATAACACAAGCAACCACGAATTCAAAAAAGGCAAACAATTCAGAATGCCTTTCAGTCTGAGTGCATCAGGCATAAATCAACTGCTTGCATGACCAGTCCTAGGGACTGGCATTCGCGCTTCACCTTTTTGAATCGCGACTCGGATTTCTAAACCTGCCCAATAAGGCGATTCATATCCCTGCAAACCTTTCATAGACTGTGTGCGTATGTGTGAATACATATATATATATATATGTGTATATATATAGTATGCATGTATATGTATGTATATATATATATATATATATATATATATATATATATATATATATATATATATATATATATAATATATATATATATATGTATATATATATATATATATATATATATATATATATATATGTCCATATATATATATATATATATAATATATATATATATACCTGTGTATGTTATGTATACTATGTGTGTGTATACAAATATAAATATATATATATATATATATATATATACATGTATGTATATATGTGTGTGTGTGTGTGTGTGCATGTACATGTGTGTATTATAAATATATTATATATGTATATATGTATATTATATATATATATATATGTATACATGTATACAGATATGTATATACATATATATACATATGTATGTATGTGTGTACACATGCACACATATATATATATATATATATATATATATACGTATGTATGTATATATAAACAATGAGTTCAAGATCTGAACCCATGGAGGGGGGGGGGTTTCAGTATGCCAAGGATTTACTTGAAAATCTCGATTTCGAATCACACTGAACATTGTCTCATCCTAGTGAGACCGTCTAATCTTCATAATCAGTATTAATTACAAATGATTATTCCTTCTGGAAAAGGGTACCGATGAAGTCTATTGGCATTAATAGATCATGATCGGAGCCTACAGGCTAAGGAAGGTTCGGAGTCTGTAGGAAGTGCAATGCTCCCGGGACTAATTTTCATGACGATGACACTAATATTTGATATGGCTGATAGTTCCGTACTACCGGTCTGGGTCTGTTCACGCGAGAAACGGTTGTGGTCATAGTTAACATTTTCTCTAATTATAACTCAATTTATGGATGATCATTACTGTAAATAAGCCTTAAGTATATAAACATTTCTTTTCCAAAAATAGCAAACATGTTAAGACCCCAGTACTTATAATAAACAAATAATCAAAACGTTTTTTTTTCTTTGAAAAAATCAAACGTAGTAACTCCACGAATGACGTCATCATTTGTTCCCCTTACTATGGACTGCGTATATAAGCCTGCGACGAGCCTAGTCAGCTGTCAGTCGTCCATCTCGGATTCCTCAAGACGAATATTCATCATGAAGGTTATGGTAAGATCTCGCTGTGACTTAAAAGTTATGAGTCCTTCAATTTGTATTTTCAATAAGAATAGGACAGTAAGCCATAGAACATTCATGGTGCGGCTTCCATGGGAAAATATGTTTCATACATTTGATGCAATGTTTAACATCGTAACAGCTGGTTCTCGCTCTGGCGGCCTGTGCTGCTGCCATGCCCTCTCCTCACCCCGGCTTCGTCTACTCCTACGGCCATCCATACGTCCACTCCTCCTACCCCGTCGTCAACTCTGCCAAGGCACATACCCCTGCCAGCACCGTGCCCCTCGTCTACCCCTACGGTCAGTCTCATACTGAAAACATTTTCTCTTTCAAATGTATCTCTACATTTTGACAAAATTGTTCTATTGAAAGCGATATCATAATGCCATCAAATATTCGTAATTCAGAATTCTTTATTATACATATCGTGCTAAATATTCCTCCTCCAACAGGTCAAAATCTCCCCCAAACCTACACCTACCCCCACACCTTCCCCAACACCTTCCCCTACAGCTTCCCTTACACTTACCCCTTCATGGTCAAGGCCGACGAGGCCGTCGAGGAGGAACCTATGGCTGAGGAGGAAGCTGCAGGCATGGAAGAGCTTATGGCTGAGGAGCTGAGGAGCTGATGCCTAAGGAGCTAATGCTGACTAATGGCTGATGATGGCTGAGGAGGAACCTATGGCTGAGGAAAAAGCTGCATCCGATGAGGAACCAATGGCTGAGGAGGAACCTATGGCTGAGGAAAAGGCGGTAGCAGAGGACAAACCAGTCGCTGAGGAATAGGACGACACTCTCAGCATCCTTCCTCACTGGGACTGGGAGGAGGAATCGCGAGTCCTCGTAGCCTCGTCTAGCGAGGAGTTCGAAGGACTCGTTGAGCCTCCTCAGCTTCCCTTCAAACGAGATCTCTAGGCTGCCCTTCGTTGCAACAGAAAATTGCTGATGAAAATTCTTATCACCAAAACTGGACTTTCTCTGGGATTATCATACAGGTTATTGGTCTACCAAAAATAAAGTACAAATCCTAATGTTTAATTCACTTAACCTTTCTTTTTCTTAACTTTATGAAATGAGTATTAGGTAAACAGAGTAAATTATCTCTTATTTTTACCTATCAGCATTTACGCATCTGTATAGTAATCGATTCCTGTTTGAGTATGTACAGATATCTGTCTAGCCAGATAATGCATAAATTATATATGTATATATACGTATATATATATAATATATATGTATATATACATATATATGTATATATATGTATATATATATGTATATATACGAGTACATGCATATATATATTATATATATATATATATATATATATTTATATACACGCATACATATATACATATATAAAAAAGTTTACATATTTACATATCTATACATATATATACATACTTTCTTTCTCTCCTTTTCGTGCTTTCTTTTAAGTATATGCCATGGTAAGTAAAAAAAAGGGCTACAGTCTATTGTCTTATATATTGAAGGTCAGTATATAGTCATAAAAAGTCAACAAAGCGAAACAAGTGAAAGACATGTTGCACTTCCCCTCTCGCTGCGCCTCTTCTGTCCCTCATTATGTTTAAATTACGCTTTCTTTCTTTGACTCTTCTTTTATGCGGAAATGAATAACAAGTGATTTGATGCCATTATCTTCATACAGATTCGATTGACGATTTTGGGATTTGACTATTTTCACTTTCCTGCACATCGGGTAACAGTTATCATTTTAAGCATACTGAAGATCATCAAATCAAATTTTAATTATTTATAATAGTTTTAGACACTCTTCAAGTCAGTTCTAACGACACACACACACACACACACACACACACACACACACACACACATATATATATATATATATATATATATATATATATATATATATATATATATATATATACAACACAAGCAACCACGAATTCAAAAAAGGCAAACAATTCAGAATGCCTTTCAGTCTGAGTGCATCAGGCATAAATCAACTGCTTGCATGACCAGTCCTAGGGACTGGCATTCGCGCTTCACCTTTTTGAATCGCGACTCGGATTTCTAAACCTGCCCAATAAGGCGATTCATATCCCTGCAAACCTTTCATAGACTGTGCGTATGTGTGAATACATACATATATATACATGCATATATGTATGTATATATATACATATGTATTTATATATGTACATATGTATAGACATATGTACACACACACACATATATATATATATATATATATATATATATATATATATATATATATATATATATATATATATATATACATACACACATATATATAGATATTATGTACATATATGCATATATCTATACATATTAATGTCTGTGTATGTTATGTGAACGAATATGTGTGTATACAAATATAATATATATATACATAT